GGTTTGGAGGTCTCTTCAGTAGGTTTCCGCAGAATCGGAGACGCTGCTCTCTCATCTTCAGTGGATGAGGCCTGTTTTCAGCCCCAAGGCAGAGCAAGGGTTCTTACTGCGGTACCTTTGTAACTCCGTCTTTCTATCCAGATCGACAATGTGCAGCTCTGCAGTACATTGATGTTTGGAGCTAACTTTATTTTCACAACACCACATAGTGACAACCCCTAGCCTGCTATTCCACTGTACCGGAGAGATTGAGTACCTTTTTTGGTAGGGTAATACTCGTCACGTACCTCTCCGTCATAGAAGGGTAAAACCTAGGTAAGCGAACAGTTGAAAAGGTTCAGAAGTGGTAACTAGAGTCGCAAAAAGACATTCCCCATTTTCTGTATTTCCGTACAAAAACGTGCACGATGTCATCGAATTAGACCACTCAACTAGTGTTCTTCACCTTGTATATGCTTAGCAATTGGAAAGTAGAAAAAAGAAGGAAACAGAAATAATGGGGAACTAATCGACGTGAGACGAGATGCCTTTATTAAACTTTTGATATATTGTTCTATGAAGATAGGATTTTTCTTTGGATACATCAACAACATCATACAACTTACATCAGAAATTAACGTTCACGCTGCACCGACATTAATGACGTTCAGACAGCGATACCGGTTTGATCCCCTGAAACTGTGCTACGAAGTACACTGACATTCAAAGCCGTAAAGGCATAAATCAGTCAATCTACTCCTCTTTGAAGCTGTCACATTTGTGAAGGAAGTTGAATTAATAGCCTACATATGGAGCCTGTTGGGGTGACGCTTTTTATGCCCTTATACTCTCCTTATTAGGTTTGTCGAAGGATAGGAAAGATTTAGCCTAAGAACGGACCTGTAAATATGGCTTGAGGATCACTAGTTACCGACTCATCTCGGCTCCCAGATATTCTCTGTCCAACGGGTTTGCAGTCAGAATGTTGTCGCCCTTTGCTGATACCTACCCACCACAGGTCAGGTTGTCTATCCATAGAAATTAATGACCCATAAAACCTCATTAAGGTCTGACTAAGAGGTGGCTCAGCCGGGCAGCATCGGAGTGACAATGTGTCTTTCCAAAAAAACGTGAGAGTCTGTCTACAGCCTGGGAGAGCTCGTTCTGATATAACATTTGATCCATTGAAACGAAAGCTTCCAGCCATAAAAAAGAACAGGGCAAATGAAACTAAGGAGGGAAAGATCTCCTTCAGGCTGGTTCGTTCAATAATCGACGTCTAATTCGAAACTGTGATTGTGTGTCTACCAGGTCATCCTTCAGTTAGCTAGTGATTATTGAGATGAGACAACAAGATTGCAGATCCGGCTCTTCATGAGCCTGGAACTAGCTAGCTAATCAACCTCCAGCAAGTATATGGAAAGTTGAATTGGACTAGAACACGGTAGACAGGGAATGAATACCAACTCATATCGACGCCAAATGTCACCTGCCTTTGGTCTTATCTTGTGGTACGCACCTATTAGAACACCTGAAATGGGAATGAGATCACTTCTTTTTGATTCTACCTCATAACTTTAGTGATCGTTAGATTCATCAGAAGCTTCGAAGTTATGAAGTAGTCAGAAGAGTTAGCTCAAAGACTTCTCCAAATCCTCCACAACTCAGAAAATGTAGGAACACCCGAAGACAGCCAGGCATCATACTACCGGCTGCTAATCAAAGGGAATAGTCTGCCGCAAGGAGTAATTTATCAAATTCGACATGAGCAGTGGTGAAGGGAAGAGAGTAACGTACTGCTCATAACTCCAGTTGCAACTCCTTCTTTTTATTGAAGTAATGAACTTCCTTTACCAAGTTTACAGCAATCGAATGATTGTGTGAGTGATCCGTTTCAGTGTGACCGGGTTCGCCATTGTACTTCAGTGAATGTTGAAAAAGAGCTACGTTGGTGACAGTGGCATATCGCAGAAGGCGTGGCCACCAACGTCGACAAGTAGTATAAAAGGTGTTCAATGATCAACGACAGCCCATCGTCACCACTAAATTTCCATCCGTTCATTCTCATTAGACGTCGCCTAGCCTGCTCCACACGTAATGGACACAGGACACCGTGTGGCGGCATATCGTTTCGTCGCCTATGCCGCGGTCACATTCTCCGTGGTGGCGGTGCTCTCCGTTTGCGTCACACTTCCAATGGTTTATAACTATATTCACCATGTGAAGCGATCGATGCGTCTGGACATCAAATTCTGTAAGGTATGATCTTGAGCAGACGGATTGGAACTCCTTCTTCACTTTCGCGCATTCCAGGGTTCCGCCAAAGAAATCTGGGGTGAAGTAGCCCACATGAGAAGCAATCCCATAGCCAACAGAACTACTCGTCAAGTTGGAGGCTCGTGTGACGCCTGTTGCATGCCAGGTCCTCCAGGACCTCAAGGGGCTCCAGGTAGACCTGGTCGACCAGGCGCCCCTGGATCCCCGGGAATGCCAGGAGCTCCCGGACGCCCACCGATGCAGCCATGTGAGCCTATGACTCCTCCGCCGTGCCGTCCATGCCCAGCAGGACCTCCCGGTCCTCCTGGGCCAGCTGGACCTCCAGGACCACCTGGAGCGAATGGAGCAGCTGGTATGGTCGGCGCTGCTGCTCCACCTGGACCACCAGGACCCAGAGGACCGCCAGGACCACCAGGAAAACCTGGAGGGCCTGGAATGCCAGGACCTCCTGGAGAGAACGCAGTTGGATCACCAGTAATGGCAGCAGGCCCTGGTCCTATGGGACCACCCGGACCTATGGGACCACCAGGTCCTCCAGGACAACCTGGAATGGCAGGACGAATGGGTTAGCCACTTTTTTTTCTCGCAACTTTGTACAAGAGTCGTTGAAAATGATTCGTATTTTAGGAGCACCAGGACCTAAAGGACCACCTGGTCCAAACGGAATGCCTGGAGCACCAGGACAGCCGGGATCGCCAGGAATGGCTGGTGCATCTGGAGCAGCCGGTGAACGGGGAATCTGTCCAAAGTATTGTGCCATCGACGGTGGAGTATTCTTCGAAGATGGAACACGTCGTCGTCGCAAGAAGTAGACGGATCATTCGTCGCTTTTTACGTCATTCATTGAATGTTTTAAACATTTCGGAAATAGACGAAAAATCACTTCTGACGTACGTGAATAAAACGCATTCTTCTGACGTTCCTGTACTTGCGCTCAAGAGGTTAAGAGGGATGCGAAGACCTTCTCCGACAAGGGAGAAGGGATTAAAGATAACACAATTCCGCAATACCAATTCAAACGATCAACCCTAATTACACCCCTAATCACTGCATACCTTGGCGGCAGCCGACAGCCAAGCTGTCGGTTGTCCTTCAAAAGTGCAACCGACCGATGCAAACTTTGTTGACATTTCAAAGAAAACACTGACGTGCCTGTAAATGTCCAACTTTCAAGAGGAATAGAACCAGAAAGTAGAAGGGGTTGTTTTCTCGCGTTGTGAGAGCATTACAAAATTAGCTTCCCTCCGATCAGAAACCAAGTGATCCCTGGGAAAGTTGGAGAGGAGGAGAATGGCTTGAGTAGGCCTAATAGAATTTGTTAGGGAGAAACATCTTTTTGTTTGCTCAGCGTTTCAGTCGGAAAGAGTCATCAACTACCGCTAATTTATTAGATAATTACGGTCACAGTAAATTTAAACATTAAACGCTTGAAAAAGACTGAATCGTTCGGCAGTGTTAAGTGCCCTTAATGATGCCACGCAGTCATGCTCAGGAAGCTCTCTGCACTAACCAGTTCGATTTCGGATTCGCCATGAGTCACATTCCCAGTAGGGATGGTATTATTTTTGGGCGTTTTGCTTGCAGTTCCAGGGCAAAATTGGCCTAGTCTTTGTAATGGGGAGACGAAAGAGAATGCTGCCGAAGTACAACTCGAGAGTGTAATCCCTCCTCGAGAAGAATCACAGTATCACCCCACCAACGTCGAGTCTATGGGGTCCAACTCTCCATTACAAGTTCGATCCTGACTAATTTTACCTCATCAGACTGCCCTTACGAACTATATTGCTGACAATATCAAGCACTGCATGGTGAAATGTATAGACATAGACGTTTATGTCCCAATCAAATGGAATCAACCCATTTTGCAAGCGTTTCATCCCCAGATCAATTGGCACCCATAAATTCATATGATTACTCTACCCTATTTCAACTTGGGAAAAAAGTTGATTCACTTTGTTGTAGACAAAACAGCTGAATTCATCTGACAAACGGGGACCGGTTTTTAGAGCTCCCGCTCGAGTAATCTTCATCAGACTGCTAACCATCAAAAAATATTCGTCCAATGAGCTCCCACAGGTACAAAGCCAGTGCTATTGCTGTTGATCTCTTTTTTCAATGGGAGTAGTTGAGAAAGAATAGAGAAGTGTAGGAATCTTGCAGCAATTTCAACGGCGTACCGGTTTTTGATAGCTGTAAGCAAGTCCAGCCTATAGTCAGAAGTTCAGCATTTGATCAGTTGTATTTGTAAGATGAAACGTGGGCAAACGTCATTCACAAATGGATTTGTTGAAGGAGTTTTGAAATTTTTCATTCTCGGCTATTTTTTCTAATGAAAAAGGTGCATATCGATTATCAACGAGAGTTTTGTTCAAAAGGGCAAGGAGAAAAACTGCATCATCTTTTGGCGTCTCGAACGTCTCAATACAGGGCACCTCCAAGGGCATCCGCAGCTGCCTGTCACCGGATGATTGAGGAGTTATGATAACCAAGAAGCAGGGCAATTTCTCTATTGATAGTCATTTGTTGGTAAACTGATTATTTATGGCATCCTTTAGCCTACCCCTTGAACCATTCGACATTTTCCTGTATGAAGTATCTGTTGTAATGTTCAGTCATTCATCCTAAACCCACCAGAAGGAATTTCCATATCGGTTGCCTGATGTACGACCACCGCATAGGTGATATTCATTCGCTTTCATCAACACTATGATTTACTACCACTTCAGTTTGAGAGCATCTTGAGTGTTGACGAAAAAAAGCAAAAGTGTGTCAAGCGGTAAGATTTAAACTTTGGGTATCACTTTACTCCTGGGATTCGCCCATGCATATGATCTCCATTCAGTATTGTACCATTTGGATGCCTGTATGACTGGCGAGGCGATTCTATTTATTTACGAGGATTTTTTATTCCCTCCTGAACAGGCTTACGAATAATTTATCGAATTAGGATAATTGGAACATGCATTAAAACTCAGAAGATTCGATCCTGGGTATTATTCCCATATCATGCCTCCTGACACTACCACACGCATGATACGGGAATAATACCCAGGATCGAACCTACCCCTTTTAAAAATTCGTTCACAGTAAATATTGATCCATCTATGGGTTGTTACTCGTTGTTAGGCCAAAAGTGGTGCAGAAGTGATACTTCAACCAATTTTACTGTTCGTGCGACGTGTCGAGCGACCTTCCCACGGAAAACTGGGAGCAGGTCGTCTCCATCGAACGTAATCGAATTTCTACTACTGAACTTCAAAAAACTTTTTCATGTTAACTTGCTTAATTCGATTACATCAAGTATAGCAGGAAGATGAAAGCTCAAATCGACCATATCTTTTTTTAAAGTGGCCTTCTTGCAGAGAGAACAAAAAAAAAAGGCAATCGAGCCATGTTCATGGCTGACCCACTAACAGGACAGGATTCTCTTATGACGGCTTTGGGGAAAAAGGATATGCTCGATTATGGTCTAATTTAGTACCCACCTTTTCCACTTCAAAGAATGACAAGTTTTTCTATGTTCGTTGTTTATTAATTTACTTAGTTACCCCTCTCCGCTATCCCATACTCTTTTTTCTTCAGTGGAATCGGCCTGAGGGAAAATTTTGATGACAAAATCAAAGTCAATCAATCAGTACTTAAATTTACATTCTATTCTGTCTATTATCTCCCGGAAAGTCAAAAAATGTTGAAAAACTGGTTGTCTATTGCTACTAAGTGATCTAATTGG